TACTCTCTTACAATATAGCAAATCAAGATTCAAATCCTTAGTTGGATAGGTGTTTACATTTAATGCTGCTACAATATTTTAATAAGATTATCTTCAATAGGGAAGATATACTTGTAAAAAAGATATTTAAAAGATGAAAAATTCTTGAAAATAATTATGGGTATAAAATTTAGGAGAAATTTCTAATTAAATTCAAAAGAGACCTCATTCCTTTAGATATTCTTGAATGTTACTTTTGACGTTTTTAATATAAACTTATTTAAGTAATTTGATTAAATTAAAAAGATTAGGTAAATTAGTTAGTTATAACAAATATGACATCATTTTTTAAAAACTATAATCATCTTTCTTGATGTTTTTTCCCCTCTCCTACCTGATTGTAGTTGAGAATATAGATAGTTTAGAAAAAAAAATTGATAAAAATAAAAATAAATCCTGCATTTAGGATAAAATTAACTTAATAATTAAATTCTGCATTGAGGAATGAAGGAGTATTAAAATCCCTGCTTCCTTTGGCTCATGTAGTTTCTACAAGATCACTTGCTTGTCAACCCCCCTTAATCCTTCATTATGTGATCTTCCTAATTCTAATAGTCGGCGGGTTTTCAAATTAGGTTTCCTTCATGAAAAAAACCAAGTATCAAACCTTAATCACTTATGTAATGTAAGAAACAAAAGCTACATCCACTTATCAACCCCCCCCCCCCAAAAAAAGATACTTCCACTTAATTTAAACCACGAGAAATTCTTGCCATTTACATTTTTAATAGTCATTTCTGTGTTTCGCAACAACAGTTGTTATAATATATTTATATGACTTCCTAAATTAATATATTATAGGGATAATGTACTTAAATATTTCAAAGATATCTACAAATGAGTACTTAGCATCTGAATTTTTTTTCTTTTTTATATACCTTGAAAGTTTTATTTCGTAACAAGTATAACATAGTGTTATCTGCCGTTAAATTCAACTGTTAAATTATGTGATTTGATTTAGGACATATAAAAGGAAAAAAAATTCAGATGTTGGATGTTCTTTGGTGAATACTTTCGAAGTATTTAAGCCCCACATCCCTATGTTATAATAAGTTAAAAGTTTTATATGTCTATGCTGCATTTTTTTTCTAATTTAGTCTCTTTTTATACTCACACACGCTACTTATATCTTTCTTTCTCTGCAATGTTTCTATCTATCCTTCAAATATTCTCATATCGGTTTCAAATATTTATACATATAAAAATAAAGTAACAGTAATTATCACATTATGTTACACATTTAACAATTACTCCTCCTGTTCTAAATATAAGATTCATTTTATAGTGTAATTTATACTATAAAATAGGTCTTATATTTAGGACAGAAGGATTTTTTTTCCCCCCAAAGCATGCATCAAATAAGAATTCCCCTAAAACTGCAAAGGTCATTCCTATTTAGTATATTCAATAAAAATTAAGTTAATTAAAACCAGAATAAATATCTCCAAGAAAAGGTTGGATCCACCGTGAAACATTTAGCGGGAGAGAAAAGAAGACAGAAGGAATAGTAAGATATAAAAACACGCGAGACCCGCAATCAGCAAGTCAAGATGGCCGAGTTGGTCTAAGGCGCCAGTTTCAGGTACTGGTCCGAAAGGGCATGGGTTCGAATCCCATTCTTGACAAATTCTTTTCCTCATTTGTTGCCTTGCTTTTTGACTTATCGTTTTTTATTTGGCCTTTTTGGTGTGTGGCCATTCGCTTTAGTTATTATATTTATCATATGCGGAAGGAAAAAAACATGGGACTCAGGTATTACAAAGGTTAAGTAGTTCAATAATCACTTAAACAAAGCCTGAGTGTAATAAAATCCTTGCTTGCTTGCTTGCTTGCATGTGCTGGTACGTGGAGCATCTGAAAAGAAAGGAATAGTTGGATTTTAGCATGGGATTTAGAGTATTCACTATTAGCATTTAAAAGTCTTTTTTCTCTACATAAGAGTGTTAAAAAAGGAGCAACATCATCCTAACCGTTAAAAATATTAATAATCAATATTACTTATTTAACAATAAATCATAAATGTTGGCTTTTGAACGGTTAAAATGACATTCCTCTTTTTTTTTTTTCTTTTTTTCTTTTTTTAAAACATCGTTTTACCACCTAAAGTCTAAGACGATGTTAAAATTAAAATAAACTTTTGAATATAAGCAACTTGTTTGTAAATTCTTTCAAAACAAAAATGACCCTCAACCTTTTTAATAATGATGAAAGTTATCTCTATGGATTATGGCAACAATGGGACTGCTACATTTCTGGTCAGCAAATGGCACTTTGAAGCTACCTGTTCTTTTAGTTAGAACAATCCCATCATCAAACACACATGTATTGTTTGGTAATGGGAAAAAGTGTTTTTATTTTTTTAAAAGCATTACCCACTTCTTTCTGAAAAAATATACTTTGTCCCGTATCAAACAGGGCTTTATTTGTCTGAATCATACTAAACTTTGATTCCCAAAGGCCAAAAATAACAATAAAAAGAACCAACAAATTGACTGAATGACACAGCCCAAAATTTTTTGTTTTTCAACCCATTGCCAAATCATTTACAAAATAATATCTGACAGTGCTTTCCTAGCTTTTTTTTATTAATCCGAAAGAAAGGAAAATATAACAAAGAAGACAATACCAATAAAAGAAAAAAGAGAAAGTAATTAAAAAAATATGATACTGTAGTAGTTTACTACACATAGAAATTCGAAGAATACATAAAACTATTTATTTTTCTCAATTTCTCGAACAAGATTCAAGAATAAGATTTTTAAACGTAATCACAAAGAAAAAAACAATTTTGCTATGCTGATAATCGGCATCTCCTTGTGGATGATCTAGAAACACTGTTTTTTCTTACGGTCATGCGCCAGTAATATAATACATTATGGATTTTAACAGATTGATCCAAATTTGAGACATGTGAATCCTCTGCAACTGCAAGTGTGTGTTCCAGAGATATTTGTAGTGGTAGAGATCCTCTCTATTGTTGTTCGCCTCAAATTTCTCTTCTGTTTTTCCGCTTTTTGCTTCAGCAAGCATAGTTTCTTCTGGGTTTTGGCCGCAACTTCAAGGTGTTTCGTCTCTAACTTGTTCTGCAAAAGCACACGACAATTTGTTCAGCCAAAACAACAAAAGGGATATCAATTCTGTTTTTATCCCCTTAAACAAGATAATTGGAGATTAGTTGCAAAGTAGAATTATTAGTTTAGAAAGAGAGACTCATACAGACCTCTAATTTTGCTAAAGTTGTATGAACTAGCATTCTATTTTTTAAATGTACAGACACTTTTTCTGACAATAAAAAAATTATACGGAATGATACTACTAAAAGTTGGCTTCTTGTTGTTGAGATACTACTAAAAGTTCTTGTTTAAAGATTTATTAAGTAGCTTTTTTTATTTACATTATTTTAGTACATTTAGAAAAGGAATTGAGTCTAGAGGGATGAAAAAGTGGTTCATCAAAGAGGAAGGCGTTTTCCCACCTGTGAACAAAACGATCTTTAGTCATATGGTTCATTTTATTGGCAAAAAAAGAAAAACAAAAATCATATGAACCATCTTAATATACATCATAAAACGTACCTGAAATTTTTGCTGAAGTTTCTTCATCTTTTCTACAGCTATCCTGGTTTGCTCCAATTCCCAATCATCTATAGCAGCTTCCTTCCTTCTCATCCTACCAAAACGTTTACATGATTATCATTTCATTGCTAGTTCCTCTGTCAATTCACAAACGCACACACCCACAACTTCCACTAAGATTTGATTACCTTTCTGCTTTCATTTTTTCCCATAAAATTTTAGGTTACTAGAAACTGATGCCTAGTTATAAAATTAGCACATAGACATTTTAGTATAAAAAACCCTTCTTGAACATTGAACTAAAATGAAAACACTAAAATGGTCCTCATGATTTCCCATAGTTTCTTATGTCTGCATGTCTGCATTTTCCTTCAAACCCAATGCTAGTCCATGGAGATTGTTAAATTCAAGCAAATAAACAGCCTCTTTTGTCAGATTTAGGTGTACATGTTCTAATTCTATAATTATGTGATGGTTCAAAAGGTTACAATGTGAATAATTCCTGTGATTCTCAAGTGCATAATAACGGCAACCAGGATCTCTTATAGTAAATGCATGTGTTTGGAGTGAAAAGGAAGGAAGAAAAAGAAAAATGGGTAAGCTTCAACTCTTATAGGATCAACAAGTGTAAAGGTGAGACCCATCCTTTCACTTTCTTTTTCTTCACTTCAGTTTATTACAGCCCTAGAAGATCTAAGTTCATATATTCGTTTATTGTACATGCTATCATGCCCATATGAGTATGCAAGAAATCAATATTAAACATAAAACATAAAATTTATAGCAACCAGATCATAAACAGCGCAGTTCATTTTTCATACTCCATATAACCTAATTATCAGTAAACTAATGCAGTTTTCTTTATTTCTTTTAACCCCCTCAATTCATACCTTTCCAACAGTTCAAGATGTCTGGCTCTCTTCCGCGAATCCCTTTCAGCTTCCAGCTTCTGCATTTCTATTTCATTCAAGTAGGTGTTATAAGGTTTGGGCCTGCCCAACAACTTTCTTTGTCCTTGATCTCTTTCAGATTTGCGATGTCCATGTATGCTGTTTATGCAGGCAAGACGACTGTGGCTTTCATAAGCAGTACTCTCTTTAACTGAAGGCAGTGTGTTGCTGTAAAGTTCATGATCAAGAAATTTTTTGCACATGGATGAGATACTCAATTTCACTTCTGGGCTTCTTTCATTTTGATCCAAACTATCACCACTATCCTCTGATGAGTGATATCTGGTCATAAAGTTAGTAGGTTTGCAAAATCTGTTTGCGTGCTCTAACCACTCTTCTATTTCACAGTAGCATGAGGAGCAGTGGTTGCTCTCAATGCAGGATTTTCCAAGGTTCTGAGATTTCAATAGTCAAACAGTGTTGATTTCCTCATTATGCAATAAATGTACAAGATAATATGGAACAGGCATCGTGGTAAATCAACAAATTTCATCTTTGGATCTATTAGACATTGAATATATGATATCCACATGCATTATTAGGTCCAACATTCAAGTGAAATCTATTATTACTCAAGCGATCATACACGCAGTATATTCATTTTCAAAATGAACATTTTTTGAGAGCAAATTGAGTTATCAGCTTCCACGTATTCCATAGTAATCCCAGGAAAGAACCATGATCTTGCTGGATATTAAAACGGGGAATTCAGGTTTGGTAACCAAAACCAGCGATTGCATTTGCTTGAGAGGGCCCCTAATTCGCTATCAACTTTGGTCGGTAAGGAAAAAAGCTTAACTTAGAATTGCTGATAACTTTAAAAGAGTTGTAAATAAAAAGTTTTCAAAAATAAAATATCATATCAGTTCAAGCAGAGTGCATTAGTTAGTTAACTTATCATGATATACATTTGTTCTTAAATGGAATCGAGAGACATTCGTTTAGGCAAGATTCTTGCTGCTCCAGGGTCAAGAAACACGAACAAAGCACTAAACATTATACTTCTAACAAAATCCACTTATAAAACCAAGAACAGGTAATAAAATACCAAAAAGGCAACGAATTTAGAGAACCAAAAAAGATCCATCTCCATGGCATCGTAGAAACGCACAAGCAGATCTAACTAATCAGAGTAAATAAACTATGAAAAGACACCGAAAAGGGAAAGTAATCATTAGCTGAAACGACAGAAATTGATTCAACGTCTGGAGCATGTCTTTTCTTGGGTTAGGAGTAATCATTGTACCTGGTTTCTTGGGGAGGGAAATTGGGAGGCAATGTCGGAGTAGAACGTGTCTGAGTCCGAAGATGAAAGTTGAAACGGGTGGATGCAAATCGGCGAGGGAGATTCAGGAAGAAGGGGCACGAGTTGTCCGGCATAGCCATCTTGATGCAGAATTCTTCTGGTGAAGGGCCTTGATGAAGAACGAAAAGGTAAAGGGGATTCGGATAGGTTGAGAACCCTATGGTTGTTGAAGTTGTGAGGAGCGAAATCTTGAAGGTGAGCTTTCTGGTGTTTGGTTTCTTGCATTTCAATCCGTGGCTCTGAGCATTCTCCTCTGCTCGCGAGCACTCTGTAAGTCTGTATCTTAACGGGAGCAGCAAGGCGCACAGAGAGGCTGGTAAATAGGAGAAGAGTATTTCATAAGTATTTCAAGGATTTGAATTTAAATAATTCTAATCAGGATTCTAGAGTTTTGTGTATTGAATCTATAGAAAAACTTTTTGGTAAAGTTTTTAAATCTATTTCTTTTTGAATTCACTCTAAAAAATCTCGAGAGATATGTTTTTATTTTATTAAAAACACATATTTACCCATTAAAATTTGTTATTTTCTTAATTTAATCAACAAGAATATTCATATATTTTTTAAGGAAAAATGAAAAAAAAATTGAAAATTGTCAATTTAAAGGAAGAAACAAAAAAATTAAAATTTAAGAAAAATAATAAAATATATTTTTTTTTAAAAGAAAAAATTTCCACCCTCTGCCAGAAGCTCGCCACCCTCAGAGGCTACTGGGCTGTGATTTATTCGCTTTATAATGCCAAAAAAAAAAAGTTAATTCCTTTACTTTGGGTTAACATGAAGTAACATGTAAGTTAATTAAAATAACAATTTATCTAAAAATAATAAGTTTTAATTGAAAATTTACAGGTTAAACCGTGATATTAACCAAGTGTTTTTCTTGTTACATGAGAGGAAATAACATGTGAATTAATTAAAAATTATAAGAATTTATATAGAAATTATAAATTTGATTGGAAAATAATAAGTCTAAACTTAAAATTAACAATGTGTTTTTTTTCTGATACATAATATATGAAAAATGACAGTGTCATTTTTTGCAATCAAGACTTATCATATCCAAATAAATTGTTGTCATTTTTAATTGATTCACATGTTATTTTACGTTAAATCAGAATAAAAGAATTGACTTATATTTCTTTTTATACTATAAATTTAACAAATTATTGGTAGCCCAATAATCACCTAATCTTTTGTTGGCCCAAATGACTATAATCAAATCTCACCCTACCACTTCCTAAATAAATTTTCATGACAAAAACAAATTCGGCCACATTTTCTTTTTCTCCAAAGCCTTCAAATCCTCTTTGCACACATTACATCGATAAAAATTACTGTCTAGATCATTCTTTTCTTTCTCTTTCTTTTTCCCTTGTGTTATAAGGAGAATGGACAATATTATTTTTTTAATTAACTAGCTCTTATATTAAAAAAAAATTAACTAGCTCTTGTATTAAAAACTAAAGTAGTATTACAATGTTAAAAAAGACAACATTTTCAAAAATATTTTTTTTGCTTTTCATGGAACCATGATTTAAGGTCAAACCACATTGTTAGAGCCAAACTATAGTTTTATAAAAATGTGGGGTGTTTAGTAATTTTTTAGGTGAAACTATGATTTGGGTTCCAAAAATAATTTTGACAGGTTTGTCAAAACATGGGGTCTTGTTTATTTCAGCTAGTTTGGCCTAGACTTGGTCTCTGTTTGGAGTTTTTCTTCTCAAGATTGTCACAGAACTTGTGTGTCTCTATATGCATAATTGTAGATTGCCAATATGATTAATATATATTTAAAAATATTTTGAAACATTAAATATTTTAAGATTAATAATATCTTTAGATTTTAACTTTGACCTTGTTTTAATTTTGATTCTGAAATTTGATTTTGATCTGGCTAAATATTTCTGGCTTGATAATAGTGGCTTTGGTATTTAAAACTTTCAAAATCATTTGTTTAAATTTCAAACTAAAATAAAAATGAAGTCAAATTTTAAAAATTGAGGATAATATTAACCAACATTTTTATTTGGAAATTGCTGCTCTTTGGTGGTCTTATGTCACAATTTTTATCTAGCCTTATTTCATGTACATATTAAAGAAGTGCAAAGTTGCAGCGTCATGTTTTTTCTAATTATATCCAGCATACTAATTTTATTTAAAGTTATTTGACCAGAAAATTTTTATTTAGAGTTAATATAATCTTTGGTCTTTCAGCTTGTCCTTATTTTGGTTTTAGTCCCTTAAATTTCAAATCATAGGTTTTGGTCCCTCAAAAAGCAAAATAGTCTAAGTTTTTATTGGATTATAAGGATTAATTTTTAAATAAAAAAAACTTGAGAGATCAAAACTTATGATTTGAAATTTGAGGAACCAAAACAAAAATTAAGATAAAATTAAATGATCAAAATTTGTATTAACCCTTTTTATTTATGATGTATCCATTATCCTAATTCTCTTTTGATTCTAAATGTAAACCTTACAAAAATGGATCTTATATTAAAATCGAATGAGTTTTTTTTTAATGTTTCTAGTATCTTAGTTTTATTTATAATGCATAATCGCTTTAAATCATAAATAAAAATAGAATGTTGGGTGCAATTGAACCGGATGTATCATGAATAAAATTAAAATGCTAAATACTGGTGAGAAATAATATTAGAGTGCTATGCGGTATGCAATGACTTACCCATTAAAAATGATAATTGGATTAATACTATTATTATTTCTGCATAGAAAGTATGTAAGTGATTTTAAAAATAATTTTATAATATATAAAATAGGTGTGAGAAGAGTTTTGTTTTCACTAACATAAAATAACATGCCCATTAAAAATGATTAAAAAACTGGATTAATACTATTATCCTTTGGAGAAATTACAATAACATCCCATCCTAAAGAATTAAATAAAAAAAATCTCTTAAAATTATCAAATTATTATCAAGTTCATTGTAATAATTTTTATTTATTTAATTATCTAATTGCTCTTGTTTTTTTAAGTATGTATTAACAACTAGAAAAGTAGTTGTTAATAACTTAAAATATAACGATTAACAAATCACTGTAGATATTAATAACACATTTTTCTCAGTATATCACAAAAGTATAATGTATGAGTTGTCAATATCTACCTTCATACTCCTTCCGGTTCAAAATATAAACTAAACTTTATCCATTACATTTATTAAGAAACTAATTAAAATTAATTTAAAATTTTTACCAAAAGAAATCAATTTAACACAATAAATGTGTAAGGTATATATTTGTTTTTCCTAATATACCCTTATTAATGAAGAGAATAAGTAAAAGATGTAATAAATGAATTAAAGAGTGAGAGAATATATGGGAATGAAATTAAAAAAAATCTTATTAAATGCTTGGACAAAGTGAATGTTATCTTATAAAAAAAAAATGACCATTTTAAAAAAGTTTAGCTTATATTTTGAACCAGAAGGAGTAGTTGTTAATTATTACATCTTAAATTATTAACAACTACATTTTTAATTGTCAATTCATATTTAAAAAAAAAGATAAGGATAATTTAATAATTAAATAAATGAAATTTTTTTGATTTTAGAATAATTTAATAATTTTAAAAGAGTTTTTATATTTAATTCTGCCTTGTTACAATTTTCTTTTATTACCGAACACCGGTTTTAGGGGTTTAAGTAATCCAACGGTCCACAATTAATCTTCTGTCCTCTACGATACATAAGATAGCAGACAAGATAGAGCGAAAGAAGCCGGGGACAGAGCTGGAGCTGGTAAAGAGGAAGCGAGGTTGGGAGAAGAAAGCGAAATACAGGCAGAACGGAGAACTGAACATTCTACTCCGGAGAAACCCGAACCGGTAATAGCTTCAGATCTTCTCCTTTCCCCTTCAATTCCATGAATCCTGTCTCTCAATTCATTGTTATTGCTAACTCCGATTAAAATTGAGGCCAAAAACTTTGTCGGATTAAACTTCAATTTGTAGAGTGAGCCCTTTGGTAGTGCTTATCAACAATGGCTTCGTAGCTTGTTGGGCGATTTGGTTCTTGTGTGTTCAGTGGGCTGCATTTGGTCATTGCCCCTGTTTTTTCCCTGTTCTTTCTTAGTTTCTGCTGTTGTTTGTTATTCTCTTCTGCTGCTGCTTTCCTCCCTTTACTTCAGTGCAACATTGATATCACAGAAAAACAAGAAAAAACTTCTCTTCGTTGCAACGTTGTTATTCTCTGCTTCTGATTTCTTCCATATATTGCGTCTCAAGTTTATCTTTCTTCGTAATGATTTTGAGGGAAAAAGCGTGTGATGATGCGTTGATGGTGGTTTTTTCTTTTTTTGGGGGGGGGGTTAGTGAAGGAATGGGCTATGGACTTGAAGGGTTATATATATGGTTAACAGATTTAGGTGAATAGTCAAAGAAAAGCAAATTAATTTTTTGAAATATTTTTATTAAATCAAAGCTAGGCAATAATAATTGACCTTAAAGGAAATCAAAATAATTAAAGTTAATTTTATTAATAACTGAAAGAAAATTTTGTTGCTGAGTATATGCAGTTTAACTCAGTCGTACTATTGTTAATATTACACGACATTGTAAGGCTCATGTTCCTTTAGTAATGGTACAGCTAAAAAAGTTTTTGACAAAAATGTATCATCCTAACATGTTTAATCTGTCAAAATCACTCTTAATGTAAAACCATCCAAACAAAAGTTCAAATCTACCCATATTCTATTTTGCAAATGCTAATCTAAACACACTATTAATTGGTTGTGATGTGCTGTTTGAGTTTTAAATTGCGTCATATCATCACTTTCTTCATGTTGTCCCTCGGCCTAATTTCTGCAATGGGATTGGGGGGAGTTAATTTAATAGGAGAGTAAAGCTTGATCATTGTTATATGCATATATAAATACATATACATATGTGCTTCTTTGCGTGTAAGCAGTGATTGAGGCAAACTGCATGCGAGAGGGTTGGAACTATTTGAGTTACTGAGAGTTCGTTAGTAAGTGTCTTTTTATTCGCTTTATAGATACAATGTATGCTTTCTGTTATTCTCCAATTCACTCGCTCCTCGACAATATATGCCTTTGTCATATGGCCATGAACGTAGAAATGTTGATTGATACTTGCTATCTAATTGCAGCAATGCCAATTCCTGAAATAGCTGATAAGGTTCTTTGAATCGTTGATGAGATTTCATACATAATATGTTCTTTCCTTTTTTTTTTCTTTTTTTTTT